TTTCTATCTGGGTTGGTGGTGTCGATCACCTCCACCGTACGCCGCCGCAGAAGCCGTCGGAAATCTCCTCTCCGATGAGCTCTCAAACCTCCGGATTCAATTGCAATTTCTGAATCCTCAACAGTGTCCTTCTGAAATTTATAGGCAAAGTCTCTGTTTGCAGTTTAGTCCCTGAAACTTCAAACGAGTATAACTTCTTTGTTTCAACTCGGATTCACGAACCGTTTGCGCCTACGCGTTCGTGAGATCAACCTCGATTTTCCAAATCAAAAATCATAATTTTCTCGCTTCAATTTCTTGTACTTCCTTTGTAAAATCATAAACTTAATCATAAAGGTATTTTGTCCCAAATTGAGATTAAGTCACTTAATTCCAATATTTCCACACCAAACCAAAATCATACAACATCCAAAATAGTCACACGACTTAATAATATTTTCCACAAAAATAATAAAACCAAATATTATTTTTGAGGGTATTACATAAGCGGACCAAGAACGCTCTGATTGCCAGCGAGAACGCCTACTGTGTCGTTACGCAGGCCTTTCAGGAGGCGGTGGGGGATTTTAACAGAAAAGATTATGACAGTACGCTTAAAGATGAAGATGTAGCGCCTAGAGCTCAAGCTAGCTGTGAAATTACCTTCATAACCCCGCGTAGTCCGGTGGACCCGCTGAAAGAGATACATATGCAGATGAGAATTCTCATTGCCATGGCTGTGGTCACTGGCCATGAACTTCTTGGTCACTGAATGATGAAGAGCACCACTTGACTTATTAAATCTTGTTTTTTTGTTTTTGTTTATTGGGTACGTAGTTTTGGGAAAATCAAGATTTAATAATCGAGAACCAACACATTATTTGTCACAGAATTAATATATGCATGAAACAGGAAAATGAGGATTGTCATTGCCATGGCTTTAATTTCAGTACATGAACTCAACGGCACCAAGTTTAATTAACATCTAGCATGCAGCAGACATTGATGTAAAACATATTAAAACTTCAAATTATTCACATAAAACATGGAACCATCCTTGAATCAGAATGCTCATAGAATGAACACTGAAGTCGAACTAACCATACAAAAACTATCTCCTGAGTCACACGAATGGAAGATAATGTTGATCAAAAGATGTACATCTAGAGAAAATAGATCAAGCCACAACTACATAAGAGACAAGAGTGACTCCTGAGGCAGATCATCGGGCTAACAAGGCAACACGATCCTTCTGTATTGCCTGTGTCAGGTTGATATCAAAAAGCTCACATCGTATAGGCATCTCCATCTCATAAAAAGGGTTCTTCAAGACATAATCTGTGTACAATTCATAGATATGTTTCAAGAGACCTTCCATGTGCTGTGTCCCAGGCTCACAGACAACAAAGAACTTTGTCCCTGCAACAAAGAAATTATCCTCATAAAAAAGCACTAGTTTTGCAATCTAAGACACTAATGAAATTTCACTTCCAGGGATTAATTGAACTGTCATAGGAACAAAAAGGAAAATGCATCCTACACCCTACTCAATAAGAATGTTTCAATTCAAAAGGGAAAAAGGCCAAGCCTAAAATAACAGAGACTTAGTTGCTCTGTAAAACTGAAGAGCGAAACTTGTCAACACTGAAAGACACATTAACTTTGTGCTGAGCAAATTTCGGACCAGTCAGACAGATCTGAGTCCGCATCCAGGATATTAACCCACCTCATTCGCCTTATGTACAGCAGTTGTCAAGATGCTGTATACCTTGTATCATTCGAGTCACTTTTTTGCTTAGGAAGAAAAACAGTAGAGTGATATGGTATCCTAGAAGAAAGTAAAGAACTTAGAAAATCCAATATTTTCTACAAGAACATGACGCAAGGAAGAGGGCATTGCTAGATATGAAGACTAGATGGAGAAAATAAAATTTTCATACTTTCTTTTACCAGAACAAGATAATCTAGTTCTATGGAAATTGATAATATCACCCTCAAACATGCAGAGGGAAACTCTAGTTGCTTAGCCCATCTTCGATACAGAACCCCAAGATAGATGTTGCCTAAACCTCACACCCAATGGCTTACAAGTTACAAAAACACCACCATTAGTTGTTCCAGACATTAAACACATCAACTCACTCAATGAAAATCTTTGGCATTCACCTCACTTCCGAAATTCTCGTTGTGTAGCCCATCTTCCAAAATACAGAACCACAAAACATATGCTGCCTAGACCTTACACCAAATGGCTTACAAGAACGCCACCATTAGTTATGTGAGAAGTTAAACACATCAACTCAAATCAATGGTAATCTTTAGCATTCAACACACTTATGAATTTATCTTCCCCTCCCCCTGAAATAAGTTAACAACTATTTTTAATTCACGAGATCACAACCTAAAACAATGCAATGCACAACATAATGTCACAAGTGAGACTTAGTTTAAACCAGTATTACAAGCAGTAGATCGCCAGATTATTTCTTTAGCTCCTATTATACCAATTTAAGCTCACCAAATTAAAAAGCCGCATATTGGTGTCAATCCGACCAAAAAGTCCTCAGAACCTCACTCTATTTACAACTTACAAAATCAAAATGCTCGATACAATCTAAGTCCTATCTGACATGTTACAATAACTGTTAACACCAGATCATACAAATCAACTATATCTAAGAGAAAATTCACAATTTTAGTCGCAAATTGGTTGTTAACTCAAATCTTGGCAGCCTTACCAAATTTGGTCAATGTGATTGAAACCCACTAAAATACAGCAGAGAGTTTGGAAACAGAAAAGGTTAAATTTTGAAATGTACCAGTGAGTGATTGGAAGCAATGAAGATCGAAAGTGTCAGCTTGGAGGAGCTCAATGCCGAAACAACCCGATATCGGCGACAGCTGCTGAGAAATGGCGTGCATAGAGTGCCACAAGCTTGCAACCCTCAAGCTATCATTAGTGTCCATCCGTCCCGAAGACCCATAATCCTAATTTTTTTTTTCCAGAAAAAGAGAAAAAAAAAACCCATCAAAATTCGTTACCTTTCGTGTATGGTTGCCGAGAAAACGGAGGAAAATAGATGAAAAATTGAAGTTCCGATTACCAGAGTTTTGGGTTTCTTTTACCTTGTAGAAGATCAATCCACCTGATTTGTTGATGATGTATAGGCTGTAAATTGCTGCCATTTCCAAGGGGTATTTCGGAATCCAATAGAAATATATGAACAAAAAAGAAGAACGAAGAAGAAGATGCCTATTTTGATCAAACAGAGTAAATCAAACCTTTAGCCCAGATTCAGATATACAGCCCGAATAAATGGGTCCGACCCGAAATACTGTCCGGAATCCGGAGCCAGTTGGTTTGCCCGAATCGTTATTTACTTGTCTGACGTTTAGCGCGAAGATGCAGGTTCGAGTCCTTCTCGAGCCAAATCTCATTGTTTTGTACTTGTTTTTACGTGCTTTTATTTGCTTATTTATTTATTTATTTATTCTACAATCTATTTAATATTTATTGCTTTTTAGATTTTTATATGGAAGATTTGTATAATCTAAAATAAAACTTCCTTTTAGCCATCAAAATTAAATTCGAACTTGTACAAGAATCTTGGACAATGAGATTTTTAATCCAATAGAACGATGCGAAATTGAGTTTGTCCTCCCCTCTCTATTCTCCCGGACATCCGTCACCATTCCTCATTTAGTAACCATTTTGCCGCCTGTTCATCACCATATCTCTTAGTCTACATGGAGACCGTCACCATTCCTCATTCCCATCCCACCACCATTCCTCCGCCCGTTCGTTGCCGCATTGCACATTCCGGTGACGTTTATTTTTTTAGTTGTTAAAAAAAATTATTATTTTGTTGATTTCCACTTGGACTCTTTATTTGCAGCCACGTGTCTAATTCTAACTGGATGAGGTGTAATAGAAAGCACCTAGTCCGCAAGCCTCCGAGTCCGAGGTGTGACTGGTAACAGGCCACGCCTCCTCCCCTCCAAACTCACCCACCCCGCGAAAGCTTTAAAGACTCCACCATGTTCATGTCGACCCTCACAACGCTCTCTCTCTCCGATCTCATCCCTGCTCGTCTATTTTCCACAGCAATCAACAATGGGTGTGAAGCTCAACTCCGGACCAACGATCGAGATCAACGGCCTCAAATTCACCTACCCAGGAATCAACGGCCATCCTCCACCGGGCTCCAAGCCTCTGATCGAGGACTTCAACCTCACCCTCAACGCTGGCGATCGGTGCCTCCTCGTCGGATCCAACGGCGCCGGCAAAACCACGATCTTGAAGATCTTGGGAGGCAAGCACATGGTCGAGCCCCACATGGTTCGCGTGCTCGGAAGGTCGGCGTTTCACGACACCGCCTTGACCGGCTCCGGCGACCTCTCCTATCTCGGCGGAGAGTGGAGGCGAGATGTGGCTTTTGCCGGGTTTGATGTCCCGATACAGATGGACGTTTCGGCCGATAAGTTGATCAATGGGGTATCGGGGGTCGACCCACAAAGGAGAGCAGAGCTAATAAAGGTTCTGGATATTGATCTCTCATGGAGGCTGCACAAAGTCTCCGATGGTCAGAGAAGACGAGTACAGATCTGCATGGGCCTGCTCAAGCCATACAAGGTACTTAATTTCCATGTTTGACAGTTTCGTATGTGTTTTGTTTGTGTGTTTTTCTAATGCTCACCAAGTGTTTGATAATTTGTTGTCGAAATGAAATAGGTTCTTCTGCTTGATGAGATAACTGTGGACCTTGATGTGCTAGCAAGAGCTGACCTTCTCAAGTTTTTGAGAAAGGAATGTGAAGAGAGAGGCGCCACAATCATTTATGCTACACATATATTTGATGGGTTGGAGGATTGGCCTTCACATATTGCTTATGTAGCGAATGGAAAGTTGCAGCTAGCTTTGCCCATGGATAGGGTTAAGGAGATGTACAAGTTGTCACTCATGGTTAGTCAAAAGGGTAGCTTCAACTTACATTCAATTTCTAATTGTTTGGTTCAATTTACAGAGATTGGATTGGGTTTGATTTGCAGAGAACAGTTGAGAGTTGGCTGAGGAAGGAACGTGATGAAGAGAGGAAGAGAAGAAACGAGAGAAAGGCAAAGGGCCTTCCTGAGTTTGAGCAACAAAATGAGGGAAGCGGCGGTGATGTTCGTGCAGTGAATAATGGCTGGGCAGCCGGACGCTTGAATTCCACCATTGCCGGAGAAGAGAACTTTGTCTTCAGCTCAAATAGAGTTCTCAGGCAATAGTTGCTTACACTTGTTCTGATTTTCCCAGAGTTATGGGACTTTGAAACCTTTGTATTTCAATCTATTTGTACCTTGTATTCAATTTTAGTGTGTATTTCAATCTATTTGTATTCTTTATGTAACGAAAAATGCCATGAGCTTGGCTTCTCTCCATGTAAGACAATCATTATTTATTGACAAAACCACACCATTTTACAGCCAACAAGAAACACAAAGAATAACAATGAAATAATTAAACCATACTAATAAGGGATGCTAATAATAATCATGAATTAGCAGCAGCTAGCTGTTTCTTTAATTTGACGTGTCACGCCGCAATTGGGTAAGAAGCTTCCCTAGCAATGCCACAGAGTCCTTCCTTGGCAAGAACGTCTCTCTGCAACCTCACGTATCCCCTCTCCCCCCAATCTTCTTCCCAAGAATTCTTGATCAGCCAATACTTACCCCCCATCATCACTTGTACCGTATCCAACAATTGTCACAGCATGGGTTAAGTCTGTACCACATGGTCCACCGTACACACCACCAGAATATTGCTGGAATTCGAAGGCACTGGCATCGATGGCAACGGAAACCGGCTGGTAGGCAACAGCCTTCAACAGAGCATTTTCGTCATTTTCAGGCACATTCTCGAAGTCGGTTATGGTTATGGCACCAGATGCATCAGTCTTGTTGTAATCATCAGCCTTGCAACTGCCTCCATCTACACCCTGGTAGGTGTAATCAGATTCACAGTTTGACGGTAACGCTTTCTTAATCTTGCATGCTTACCGCATTGCCCTTGGTACTTGACAGGAGTCACAGCGCCCATTGAACTGAAGTTCACATCAGATGGCAAGTTAGTGACATTTTCATATCGAAAATAATCATTTGGAGCTACTTTCACAGACTTGGAGATGATCGCTGGACCATGAAGTTGGCGACTAGAAAATGCTTGGGAGGAGAAAAAGGCCAAAATGAGGACAAGAGATGATGCCAAGCAGAGGGATTGGCCTTGGTTTGTGCTGAGCAGAAGAGCCATGATGATGATGAAGACGTATTTTCAGTGCAGTTTGGAAATAGGATTTTTACCTTGTGGATTGGTAACATATTGAAAATGGGCATGGGATTTTATACAAAAAATTGTACAGGTCAACGTGACTTTTTAAGTGTGTAATAACTCCCCAAGATTAATATTTTTACCGTGTGAATTTTAGATCCTCCCTTTGAGGGAGTAAATAATTTTTTACTTTTGAGCAAAAATCAAGGGAAATAAATGAATTGATTCAATCGATGGTCAGAGCTTGGTTTTTATTCTCATCCATTTTACCAAGGTCACAATAAATTAGCGTGTCCTTCAATTAGGGTTTTGAATTATACGAAAAAACCCTTCCTCTAAATTTAATTAGCGTGTCCTTTTTATTGCAAATCATATTTTTATTTGGTATTCAATTCTAGTGTGCAATCATATATATCTTGAAGCCCAAAAAATCATAACGTTTATTGACATTTCATCTTTTTGGTTGTGTATGTAAAGTACATGAATCATGTTCTACCCGTTCTTGTGGGATCCAATGACAGCATAGGTAAAATATCATGGAAATTTACTGTCACTGATTTGTTGTATTTGTGTAGTTTACGGATGTGTTATTATGCAAGACAGATGAAGGGTCTAGTATTTGTTGTCTCATGATGAAAGATAAAAACGCCAATCATTCTAAGATGACAAAGAAATCGTAACGATTCAATATCCATCCATTGATTGGAACTCTAAACACAATAGAATGTATGGAATGGAAGGGAGACTCTAAAAATCTTGAATTATTTAAATCTACAGGGCCAAATGGCATCAATCACTTTGTAGTAATTATCTAAACAAAATACATTCTTAGAATAGTAACACTGTAAGAAATTCATAAACAGAAGATAATGACATCCCACTATAACACATTCAAAACAAGAGGCTGCCGAAGTTTTTATCATCAATTTAAGCCTGCAACCAAAGTAAATACGTGCAAGCAAACATGAGTTTCAGAACCATCAAAGACATTTTTACTGCAATGAAGCAACAAGAGATACCCACCTTGTTTGCTATATTGTTGGAGAGCCAGTCAAGACCCTCATAGAGCCCTTCCCCAGAGGTGGCACATGTACTTTGGATGTACCTGAATCAATAACACAGAATGTATCAGATTTAATCAACATTTAATTGGTTTTTTCTGTGTGTGTGAGTGAGAGAGAGAGAGAGAGTAATCATAGAAATTATGAAGAGAGTATTTAAGTAAAATACCAGTGGCGTTGACGAAGAGAGTGGAGACCGAGTTTGTCAGTGATCTCAGCAGCATTCATTGCATTCGGAAGATCTTGCTTGTTAGCAAATACAAGCAGCACTGCATCCCTCAACTCATCCTACAGATTCAAGAACTGAAATAATCATATACATGAAAAAAAAAATGCTTTTAAAAGTCATGTGATGGTTTTCAAATGACCTTTCATATATTTTCAACAAACTTGGTGAAGGTCTTGTACGTTTTCCATCAATAAAGCATGGTTTTATCTTAAAATAAGATACTTAACTCTCTCCCAGAAAGAGCTTTCCAAAACAATCTTACCACACTTAGCATACAGATATATAATGTGTTTCTAATTACTATATTAAAAAATCTCTCAAGGGCCAAAAAACTAACAAAGCATTCAAAAGTTTCAGTACCTCATTCAACATCCTATGCAGCTCATCCCTAGCCTCAACAACACGATCACGATCATTGCTATCAACCACAAAAATCAGCCCTTGTGTATTTTGGAAGTAGTGTCTCCATAAAGGTCGAATCTGGAGGGCCACACAAACATATAATGCATATGTAAGAGGGCATGATACTCACGATCAATGGTTGGTCAAAATCACTAAAGTATATAATTAAGCGCATAGACAAGCACACATATAGACCAGTTGCAAAAAACAAGATATGCACAATTGAATAATCAACAAGTGCACGACAGCAGATTTAACATTTGCTTAAAGAATAGAAAATGTATGCCAAAGCATGGAAAGCATTTCCAATATATGAAGGAAAAACTTTATATAAATTAAAAAAAGTTGGCATAAGTAAATGTAGCTTATGATTATGTTATGCGCTGATGGAGAACAACTAATCAGCACAAGACCGTCAATAAGCACAAGCAAGAAGAAGATCAAACATATAATTAAATCATTAAAGTATAGAAGATGTCAGCAACAACAAGGATAGCATTTCCCTATATGATAAGGAAAAGCTAAAAAGACAAGTTGGCACAAGTAAATGTAGCTTATGATTATGTTATGTGATGATGGAGAACAACTAATCAGCACAAGACCGTCATTAAGCACATAAATACATAGAATGGATAACCATGGTAGAAGAATCTCATACTGCCATCCTAGTACCAAAACATCTAATTAGCATAAGACCCTCTGCACGAAAAAATACCAACAACTGCATCTACACAACTCAGTTTGCCTAAAGGCAATGTGAAATTTTCGCCACAGTGTGGATAGCTTTTCCTCACATTTATTGAGGAAAAACTTGAAAGACAAGGTGGCAACAATACATGTAGCTTATGAATTTGTTGTGTGCTAATGGAGCAATATCTAATCAGCACAAGACCGTCCATAAGCACTTAGGAAAACAAACAAACACAAACATTTACAAAACAATACATATGCGTATAAATTATAAATAACCATTATCGCTTGCATATTTAACAACATCTATCAAAGAAAATATCATTCAGAGACTTATGTTTGATCTACAAGTGTATCCATATAATGCTAAAGGAGATATGTAATACATTCAAAATGTGCCAAATCTTTTACACCATATAAAATTTAGATAGCTTGTTAATGATTTCACAAACCTTGTCCTGGCCTCCAACATCCCAAACCGTAAAACTAATGTTTTTATATTCCACAGTTTCAACATTGAATCCTGATACAATTGCAAACAGATATAACTTGTTAAAACCCAAAAATGGTACGCTACTCATGTTAAATAAAAATATTACAACATGATAATAATATTGCAAATTATACCAATTGTTGGAATGGTGGTCACGATCTCTCCAAGTTTAAGCTTATACAAGATGGTAGTTTTACCAGCAGCATCGAGACCAACCATAAGAATTCGCATTTCTTTTTTAGCAAAAAGACGACTGAACAACTTGGTAAAAGACAACCCCATTTTGAAAAGCTGCATTCAGAATTCAATAATCAGATACAAGTTCATCTATCATTAAGTCACAAACACTCAACTTGGATATTCAACTTACAGTGCATGGACGAAATCTAATGAAAAAAAATGTCAAGAATTTGAAGGGAAAAAAAAGTTACTAACATGCAGAATTGGACATTCATATGACTAAAGATCTGAACTTTCATCAAAATCCAAATATATCAAAAACAAATAGACACACAAATCCTTTGCGTTGGATATGGGCAGGTTTTCCAGATCATGTGACCAAAATCCTTTCTTTTTCTTTTTCTGTGGGCTTATTGGCTTTCTATCAAATACTTTAATACAAATTTCTCAGTTCGAACAAATAGCATTCAGAACAACCCAAACAAGCACGACAATAATAGATCTAAAAACAAATGTAAAAGCTACCCATCAAATTCAAAATAAAAACAAAATCTTGACCTGAAATTTCACAAAAGAAAGAAAGTGAAATCCAAATAGCAGATTCACATCAAAACCCAAAAACAAGATCTTGATTGAAAAAAGAGAAAACGCAGACTAATCATAAGCCAAAATAACGCTAACCCATTACTTCTAAACCAAAAGTACACCTATAAACCAAATTTAATATGCCCTACTAATCTACATGAAAATGTATAGGCAAATGTTATTAGAGAGAGAGAGAGAGAGAGCGAGAGAGAGACGGACCTTAGAGGGGGCAGATCTGAGAAGCTGCCCTAGAGAGAGGAGGTACGATGAGAAATGGGCTCCAGGATTGGGAGACTATTTGGGTATTTAAATATGTGGGATATAACGATCTTTCTAACGACGTTTGGGGCCCGTGAAGGATTTGAGCAACGTTATTCAGACGTGAGGTGCCGTTAGGGTTCGAGTGAAATGTAGTTATATTGTGTGACAAGGTGTAGAGTTGGGGGTGTGTATGCTCCAATGTGGTCCAATAGTTTATCTAATTGTTGATTTGCCTCTAAAAAATCCTATTATACGGAATAAGTACGTTTTTAATGCTTCTCTTAAAGAAGGAGAGTCCAGAAGGGTGGAAATGAGATGAGTTTTACAGTTTGTACGTACAATCACTAGTTTGTAAAATTTAGGGTTTAGGTAGCTTTAAAAGCTTAACTACACATGTTATGTGGTAAACTTCACCGATTTGTATATATCAAGTACGTCATTTATAATGTACCTAGCTTGCTTATAAGAAATTTACAAGACTAGTGATACAATTTGCCTAACTCTAATAAGAAATTTGCGAGACACATAACAAATTTTAATAAGAAATTTACAAGACTCATTGTTATTTTTTATATTGGAACGAGACTCATTGTTATGTGGTAAGTTTCATGCAGGGTTTAAGCATGAGGTCTATTTCTACTTGGCAAATTGCAAAATTATTACACCGTTATATGTATTCAATTCTGATATTTGTGTCTCATCTTCCATGCATTAGGCATTAGCTATGGCACTTTGTATGAGTTTGAAAGAGAACATATGGCTACTAATGTGCATTTGGTTAATGACAAATATATATAGCAATTGGGAGGCAGGGGATTGCGGATGATGGTCAATCAAAACTGAAACATGAGAACAAAACAAAAGAAGTGTTGACACCATAATTGACCAAGCAACTAGAAGAAATTCTAGGCAAGGCAAGAGGAGTCCCACATCGGAAATCTACAAGAAGTGAAGACTCCCTCTCACCTATAAAAGCATACCACTCTCCACCTAAGAGAGGATGGAAAAACTGAGCTGGGCTTCCTCTTCAGGACTCTCCTGTTAGTCTGGCCTTCGAGTCCTGGGTCTCCAGACCCGGGGACTTGACCCCTGGGCTCCAGACTCCTAACTTTATACCTTAGGCCCTAGGCCTTCTTCCATTTATCTTTGGGTCTAATCCCCTTGTACAAATGTAAACAATATCATAATGAGAACATCTTCTCTGTGGACGTAGCCCATTCATTAAGGGTGAACCACATATATCTTGTCTTTGTATATTTATAAATTGGCCAAACCCTCACATACTTGCTGAAGGTCCAAACCTTCACCCATCAACCATCACACCTCATCACTAAGTTGGACTCAATCTAAGCCGAACCATTTTGGGCATCAACAGTTTGGCGCCGTCTGTGGGAATCGACACAAAAGGCTTCTGTCATTCTCCCTTCCTTCAGTGCCCTTCGGCACCCCTCCAATCATCATCCTTAACCATTCAACATTATCTGTGCCGAAGTAATCAGGAGTCAAACTCAGACATCACATCAACATGCCGAAGTTTTAGGGCCCAGCTCCAGCCTGTTGACTCTCGAAGCCCAGCTCCACAAACCTGGCAAAGGTCAAGCCAAGACCCACCCAGAAGGCTCATGCCACAAGGCACGACACTTAACTAGCCTAGGCCCAACCTTGGCTCCCCTGTCGAAACTAAGCCCAGACCCCCTTTGGCTCTATTCGGCACACCTTTTCTTGCAACATGCAAGCTTGGCACCTTCGGCACCCCATGCCCTCCGGCATTTTATATTGCGACAAGCAAGTCTTATGCCTT